TTCTTGTCTATTTTAATGTATACTATAACACGGTTTATATGTATACCGACATAGAAAATATATAAAAAATACTTTCCTCTTCATACGTCTGTTATTTATGTGTTGCTTTTGTGATATTAAACAAAAAATCCATTAGTTTTCTCGTCTATTTTTGATACCTAAAGTATCGCATACATATATCATATGTATGTTACAGCTACTAGTTCGAAAAGCTAATTCTCGTACCTTTGCACAATCACAATTTTATGAAAATTATTCCAATTATAAAGTTTCATGATGACGTTATCGCTTCAAATAAATTATAACGCTAAATTAACATAAATATTGGTGGGTTATCTCATGATAATCTATGTAGAAGCAATCATAAAAAACGAAGATAAAACATAAAAAATATAAAAATTAAATAAATTTAAACGTGAGATGTAAATTTTTACGTTTTTAGATAAAAACATAATTTTTTAAATATTAAATTTGATGTATAATAAATTGCTTGTTACAGGTCGCGTAATAATATAAAATAAAATTGATACAAGAGTGATATTAAAACAGATCTATGTACATAAAAAATACTTTATTGTACTTGTAAAATATATTAAACATCAAATTAATATTTTGTGACTTTTCGACGGAATATGTAAATTACAGATAAATTATTTTATCACGTATCATTCATATAAAAAAGATAGAAAACTGTAGAAACAAAATTTACAATATGTTACAAAAAACTATATCGACATTCAAAGTTGTGCTACATTTTGTTCATCAAAAAATGTAATAAAGTTTTGAATTATTATGCTTTAAGAGAAACAAAGTCAAAATATAAACTTTTATATATATATATATATAATCTAACGCAGAAAAATAAATCAATAAATGAGCAGTGACAATTCTGGTAAGCGAATTGGAAAATCTACCTTCAGAGGAATAACAAGAAAGCAAAATGAGATCGTAATCCGATTACAAATACGCTACTGCTGTTTTTGTTAACATTGATTTATATATAACGTTACTATCAATGTCACGTACTTTAAATGAGTTACATTTTATGAAAACCTTGCTGGAATTCTCCATCTTGACTTAATAATGCTTGTGTTGCCTTTGGAATGAAACAAATTGCTATTTTCACATAGAACTAATTTGAAAAATATGAAGTCTATTCCGAAGATATTATTTATAATATATACAGATACGAAATAGTCACAAAGCAAACTTCAATAATATCTATATTTAAAAGACATTACAAGTAATAAACGCCATCAGAAAAATCATAAGAAAAATAAAAAAGTATTTTAAGTTTCAGAGAACTATTTTTTTTTAATATTAAAAGCTTAGGATTTAATTAATATTAAAAAAGTAAGAATAGTTATTAATACATAGACGGGATATCCAATTTGATCGTATTATCACAGAGAATTAGTTTGTTATAGTTCTAATAAATAATTTAAAGGATGTTGCTGAAAGAAAGGAGGATAATAACGACTTAATATCTGAAACATATAAATTCTCCGATTATATTATAACGAATCATTCGTTGTTCTTTTATGAACTACTATATATATTATATTTGTAACTATATTGTTAAAAACGGTTTTCGACGTTACAATGTTGCTCTTTATCTATTGAATAATAAGGTCTTGCCAAAAATGCTTATTTTAATGAGTTTTATAAAAAAACAAGATCAAGCGTCCTACACTCAAATGTCTGACCTATCTATATTTTACAGGAATCACGTGTACAATTAATATTACAAGTATTACCATTAGGTGATTAATCTGTAAGGTCAATTACAATTTTAAATGACATTACATATCCAAATTTGCTATTCCCAAAGTGACTGTGAATGATGCTGCGTTGTGTACGTCAAATGAGAAATTCAAGAATTTGAATTGGTATATCTAGAACAGAGAAGTAATTTGCAGCTTAAAAAGCTTTTTTATGGGTTATTTAAAAATTAAATTGAGCATCGACGTAGCAACTAAAAGTCAGAATTTGTGCGTCGTCTTTTTGAAGATAGAGTTTATTCGTTTGTTGCTTTGATTATAATTTTTTATAATTTTTTTACAAAACTAAGTATTATTTTTAAATACTTTTATATCCTATGACTGTGAATATGTGGCCCCATCGATTGTGTGGATCATAAAATCTGTTTCTCAATTATACACACAAAATCTTGAAATTCGGTTTTATTTCTCTCTGCAAAAATTTTATTAAAACCTACTAAAGTTATTAATTGAAATTTGCATGCGTATATAAAATAATTCTTAAATATCTCAAATACTTTAAATAATTAGTAAATAATTTACAAAACGATATTGGAGTCATTATTTTTTAATTTAACAGATCATTATGATCCGTATTCGTAATGAGTCATAACAAAGTTCAAAGCTCTCTCGCAGAATTTGCTGGTATAATGCTTAAATATATTGTTTAAGATAATTCCTGATAATATAGTCTCACTGTATGGATGTAGCAAATACCGCAGCCAAATGCATTGATTGATCATGCGATAATATATTCGAATGTTCCCAAACACGCACGCACACTAGGTCTCAGATTTCATGAAGTTCATTCGTGCGTTCTAAATGTCACAATGCATATTGCTGAATGCAAATATTCGCTTACACGCATTATCGCAAAGTATATAGACATACACGTGGACTAATAAATGCGTTTTGGACTTATCACAAATGTATATAACATCCGAATGGTCAACAGCTATTTCCCTATGCCACAGTGAATAAACGTGCGTTTCGCCATAAAATATTTACGTCGACATTAATCGGTGATGCTAATTGAGCAGTATTTATCAAGTATACACGACCCATACAACGCAATTTATCAATATTATGGCCATTTCGTAAATTAAATTGTTTTTTAAAAGGCCGTTATCACATTCCGAATATGTTGTCGAATATTCATATTTCACCTACACCGTGCATGCGAATAATCGTTTTTATCATAATAGTAACTCCGGAAATATTTCATTAAAAGCTCTCGGAATTTAACAAGAGAGAAGCTGACACTTATAATTAACATACTATCATATTCATTACTACCTTTAGATGAATGTGTCGCTTTTGCTGTTCTCTCAGTCAATTGATATTGTTTCTCAGTACAACAATACCAAGAGAAAAACAATATGCTGCACCGTATTATAATAGGTTTCTCATAATTTGATTAATCAAATGTCGCAGACATCGAATAAAAGCTATAGAATGTTTTTTGACGAGGTCATAATTGCTAATTACACGAGTTTTAATTGAAACACCTGTTAAATAATTCATTTGAAGTTTGCTTGAAAATAAGATTATGTCAGTTACATTCATATCCAGCTTCATTCAACGTCAAATTCTACAAATTTTACTGTGTAAAAAGTATTTGCACAAACTATCATATCTGAAGTAATTTTATGTAAAGCAAAAGGATATTGCAAAACGTTCCTGTCAGAATATTACTGTCAGTATTTTCATAGTAATATATTTAATAAAACGTATTAGTAATATAACTCTTTCTTGTGTATGTGCGTGTGTGTATATATATATATATATATATATATATATAACATTATTTCAGAATAGATAATGACCTATATTCAGGACGCGGTTATAATGATATTAACACGCGATAATTTATGTTATATAGAACATTTTGACATATTTTAGCGCGTTAATATCGTTATAAGCGCGTTCTAAATACGAGCTAATATGTGTAAACCTTTTTCTGCAATCTCATCGTATATCAATTTTCAATTTTGAAAAAAAAAAAAGATAGAAATTTATTAAAGAATACCTATACTTTACACGCGGAAAGAGCAACTCTATTCGCTAAAATATCTAAAAATTTAGATAGATACAGATCTGAAAATAATTTTGTTAAACTATCAAAATAATTATGTAGAAAATTCAAGCGTGATGAGCAACGTTGCAAAAAATTTTGACATTTTAGCAACTAGTTTGATCATTCTGTAATTATTTTAACAGTCCAACAAATTAAATTATTTTTAAATCTGAATCTAGCTACATTTTTAGATACTTCAGCTAAATCATTCTTTTCGTGTACGGAATTTCATATTTTTTTAATGTTTTCTTTATACATTTTTTATCTACACTGTTTGCTGTACCTACATATCCTTCTATCAATACTCAATCAAAACAAATTCCATGTATGTCCAGAATTTTATCTACATCATTAATGTAGTTTTACTTTGTACTTGGTCATTAATGTTTCTTAATTGCAAGTTAGTTGAACTCCAACGTCAGCGTCAAGTATCTCACTTACGAAAGTTACGGAAACCGCCAATACAACGTTGACTCGCCACCTGCGACAGTATTGGAACTTGAGTTATTACGAGGTCAGGTAGATCATAAATGGAGGGAAATTACTCTCAGGGCTAACGAAAAGAAATTTCTTTAGCTCTCGTATCGATTGAAGGCGAGTGCGAACAATGTGGCACGTGGCACAATCCAATGCTTTCACAGAAAAAAAACGTTTACAATGATATAATTCAATAATTATGATAATAATTTAATAATTCAATATTTTTTTAGGCAATTGCTCTAATCTTTTCTATACTCATTTTTTTAAATAAATACTAGTATAAGTATACATATTTCGCAAAAAAACGCAGGAAAAAAAATATTTCTTTCACATTTTTTCACCTTGGGCAAAAAACTATGTTATTGTATAAACGTCATAATATGATTGAAGAGCAGAAACAATTCAATAGATATTAATTCAATATATCGACGTATTGACATCACGGTACATTTAACATTACATATACAGGGTGTCTCAGAAAATGTGACCGAAACACAGTGGGGACATAGATTGGATCAAGGGGAACAAAACAGTTTTGTACCATTTTGCAGTTGACGCAATATTTAACGAGATATTAACGTTTAAAGATAGGCGAATACGAGCGTCCGACCAGCCTACCCGGTAGGCAGTCCTGCCGGTAGCAGTACATGATCAGTAGGCAGATAGCAGTACATGATCACTTGCCTCTTGCTCTTTCTTCCCTGTATCTCCTGTTACCAATCTTGTATCAGCGCGTATCAATCTTCGTGTCTAAATTTGTAATGTGTACTGTGTATTATGCGTTATTATTGTAAAGATTCATATGATTATTAAAATATAATGATAAATATTGAAACATTTAAAGACAAAAATAAAAGAAATAGTATATAAAAACAAGATTATTTAATCTCATTTTAAATAAATAAGAGATAAAATGTGATATGCATAGATTAATATAATAAAAATAGATTATATTATATAAATTAAAAAAAATTTATTTAATGAAATAGAATTTGCATATTACACAATGCAATTTAATAACATTATATAGTTTGCAAATTTTGAGCAATTTTTAGTGCAAAGAGGAAACAACTTTTTTACGTATTTTGAAGTGCTAAATTCGGATCTGTTGTAAAAAGAATCGAATCGAAATTTTAAAGTAGCATGTTATTGTAACACTGTTAAAATAGAATTTATGAAAAAATTATCATGAAACAGTATTGTCGTATTGCACATCTGTCGCTAAATGTTTAATTTTTTCATTCATCTAATTCTTTTCAAATGATTTGAGAACAACAAATAATGAGCAAAGCGAATACTATTTGATAATAATTGAGAAACATTATCAGAGGAACGCAAACATGTTAGGTGGCTACTACTGGACTTCAATACGTAAATCAGCTCCAAAGTCACGAATATTTTCGGCGAATATTTTTGTCACGAATATTTTCGGTCTTGGAATGCCTTGGAACTCTGAACACGTCTTTGACTATAGTCAAAGGAGCACGTTCAAAGGTATCGTGTGCCTTACCAACTATGACGTTAGTTCACGCATTCCTCAATTGGTCGATGACGGCGCGACACATCTTGACATCCAGTCTAAAGTTGTTGCTGGCAGTCCATATTATATAGTCAAAGATTAAGGGCTCCGCACAATAAAAGGAACAGAGAATAAGAATTTCAACCTATCAGAAATCATGTATTGTGTATTCACAATACATGATTTCTGATAGGTTGAAATTCTTATTCTCTGTTCTCTGTTTCCTGTTTCTTTTATTGTGCGGAGCCCCTTAGATATTTTCATCTTTCTGATATGACTGCGCAGTCTATGGCCGTGTTTCGATATACATCAAAAGCATGAAGAATAGATTGCGCGATCCGTGTGTCAGAATGGTCGATAAAAAGTAAGAGAGAGGGACTGTGGAAGACGGCCATTTCTATTTCTTTCCATTCAATAGTATAATGGGAGAGAGAATGAGAGGGAGATTGATATTAAAAACTAATTTTAAAAATAACGAACTATGAAGTATTTTCAATGACGGTCCAGATCTTTTTAAATAAATGTAAAAATGAGTCATTTTCAACATACAGATATTACCAAAAAATATTGTTTTTAATACATTTATATTATTAATTTTTCATTTTTTACACTTGTATATTTAAAATAAATTTTTTTAGTTTTTAATTTTTTTTAGCTAATGTCAGTATGTAAAAATTTGATTTGATTTGATTCGTTTTCGCATCAAAAGGATTTGATTCGGCGTAAAGATTTCAGATTCGATTCATTTTCGAACATGTTATATATAGATTCGATTCGATTCGATTCGATTCGACTTTACAAATGCTTGATTCGCACACCTCTAATGGGCTAACGCAACCAAAAATTGGTTGCTGCAACAAATTAAAAATTCTATGCCATATTTAGCCAATTTTTTCTTTCAGTACAAATGTCGCGAAGTGCAATTTTACTCAAGTCACGCTCTTTTTCCGATAACTGATGGTATTTCAATAACTCGATTGCAATCACAAATGACGGACAGAAAATGTAATTTCCTTCAAACTGATATTTACGAATAAGTGAACTTAAAGAGAACGATATCGTGTATTCAATACATACTTGGAAAGCGACAGTTTAGTTGAAGTGTCTGAAAATTTAACTAGTACAGATCTGAAAAATTCAATTTTGTTGGACATCAAAATAGATCTTCAAAATAATTATGTAGGACACTTAAACTGATGTCAAAACTTTTTGCAGTATTGTTTATCATATTTAAAATTACTCTTCGTAATTATATTTTGATACAATCAAATTATTTTCAAATTTGGTATTTAGTTAAATTTTTAGATACTTCAGCAAAATCATTTTTTCCCTATTTATAAACTATATCACTAACCGCAAGGACGTCATCAATAGATCTGTAATAATCATAGAAATTCATATACAAATGAGATGCGATATTACCAGTAACCCAATATAATGCATTGCTTTTGTGTATTATGCAATGTATTCGATGTAGGAATTAAACAGCCAATTTCTTTATATAGAGATTTTATCACGCGTACAATTTGCTCTCTCTAATTCATTCATAAGTTATACATGAGAGTCAGTAATGCAACTATTGGAGAACTATGCTGTTGAATCTAATGTAATCAAATTCACTAAGCTTTATTTTAATTTCTGTTATATTTCATGCAAATCAATAAGAAAATATGTGTAGCGAAAATGAAGGCCAAATTATTAAAGAACAATTTTTAATTTTAAAACAATGATATTTTGTTAATCTTGTATCTGACATTTCGAAGAAAATATGATTTTTATATCGTCAATTATATTTCGTTTGCTATCTAGTTACGCTGTGACGTTACAGATAAATCTAAAGCTTCTTCAAATTTCGATTGCTGTTATAGATGTGGCTTATTATATCTCTGATAATATATTTCGCTATGTAGTTACGCTATGACCTTTCCGACGGCGAAAAAATACAACTAAGTTAATGACACATCTCTCTCGAATGATACATTTACCTATCGAAGATCCTAATCTTATTTTATCCCATTCTAGTAGGATAAAATAAGATTAGGACCTTCTTAGTTTTGTTTACCTTTAAATTTAGATCGGATTTATGGCAGACAAGTTATAAATCCCTTCATCATACACTGTTACTCATAGAACGAAATATTATATATTGTATCTGGAATAAGAAATGCTATCGTTAACATCACGTCATTTTTATGAAAGGAAAACATTTCTGATTGATGTTCAAGGCCTTTTCCGCTTTTGTTACCTTATTTTTTTATGTAATGTAATCTTTTTCCTTACCATATTTACGTCACATAGTTGTCCTTCCATAAAGTTAAAACTCAGAGTTCACTATATATATATATGGCATGGCGAAGGCAGGTCGAAATTTAGGAATGATATAGTGAAGTAAAACAGAGAATAGCGTGGCCCATGATTAATTAAAATTTTCAGAAATCAAGAAGTAAATAGCTATGATTTATCGATCTTAATTAACATTAATTGAACTCTACATCCGTAATTATAAATTCATTTCAGAGAGAGAGAGAGCTTTTATTAAGATCTATTATGGTTTTTATTCAGTCTTTAATCTTAGAATGATCAATGTTTATTTACCAAGAGAAACAACCGTAATTCATGGAAGGTACAAAAAATTTAGATAGCAATTTGTCAATTCGCGTATCGAAGGATTAATTGTATCATTGCTTGACTGTACATAGCCAATGACATATCTCCTGTATGAACTGTGTGAAATGTTTCGTAATCGATTAACAGCTAACGATATATCCATGAAAGATTACTCTTACATGTTCAAACGCGTTCTATGTAGTGGAAATGCACGGCGCTCATGTAACATTTGAAGCTCTATTGAAAATTGCGACGATCTTTAAAGTGTGCTCTCTTACAGGATTATAAATTTCAAAAAAACACGAGTAATACGTTTACAAACAACTTTGTGCGCATAGCACTTTACTTTATAAGCGCGAAATATAATCTACTGATAAGTAGGATTTAGAGGATACGACAGAGCTGATTATAGAAAGACCTAATTTAAAATATACGTATATATTAAATTATTTATGTACTTTTACATGCAAAATAAAAGACGCTTGTGCTTCTTTGATAGTTGATTTGTATACAGTCTTTGATTTTTTTACTTGACATACTGGTGGACACAGCTGGTAAAAGAGAGAAGTAATATAATTTTAAGTTTCTTTCCTCCGTAAAATGTAATTTTGTATTTAACACAAATAGCAATTACTATATACTAAAATATATTTACTCAATTAAAATAATTGTTTAATTTACCTTCAGAAACGTTAGAAAAAAAAATTTTGAATAACTCCTTAGCAGCATTGTCTTTTATTTTTATTTTCATTAAAGCGTGAAATTTTTTAAACAATTCTGGTCACTTAGTATATAACACTCCTTTTTTTCCTTTCTCGTACGTAAAATCGCTTTTAATCTGCAAATAGAATATTCCTTGTATTATTTAATCACAGCAAAATTTTACTTTCAGTAGTTAATGCAGATAACGAGTGAGTTTATTCTTACCAACTCATATCCACAAGATTGTTTTAAAACTGGATACTTATCAAATATGTTTTTAACACTTCCTGAGTTGTGCCTAAATTCTTGCAATCTTCAACACTTAGTTGCCAGTGATTGAGAATGTTTCTCCCCACGGAGCATCCATTAAAGTTTTTCGAATATTTCATGGAAGATTTTTTAATCTCGATATTTGTTCAAAATTTTTTGTCCAGTGAATGTTTGGTTCAAGAGGCGAATCAAATCCTGTGAAAATGTTTGATTATTTTTTGTGTTACAATAAAAAATTCATATAATAAAAGAAAAACATCTTACAAGTGAGTGAAAGTTGAAAAAAACATTCTCCTCAAATATTTCAAGTTGAATTTTATCAGTAACTAACAAATCACAATTATCCTTCGATCGTTTTTTGGAAACTTTGTTTGTCGACGACAAATATAAAATAGACTTTAGGTTACATTGTTTATCAGTTTGTCTAGAATATCCGCGTATGACTGATTAAGACCTTCGGTGTCTGTAAATTGAATCCGTTTCTTTGTGTTTTAATACAAAGAATTTCCGAAATTAAGCGATTTTGATAAAAATTCTCACAATCAAGAATATCCACATTATGCCAATCAAAATCATGGTTGTGCTCCAATCTAACAGAAAGAAACGGACTCAATTGTATAATTAAATTAGTATTGTCAGTCTGTTTTTGGTTGGTTTTATATTTAAAGCTATTGGATCGATTGTAATAATATGAGATTGGATAGGTATTTTTCACGGATTCAATTTCTTTCTCTCTCAACAAATTGAGGAATTTCTTGAATCCGTGAAAAATACCCCTTGCGTAGTGGTAATGAAAGTTTATAATTCCAAAGAGGCTGTCACAACTGGATTTCTAAAATGAGAATTTCTTCATCATCATGATTAAGTTTTGCTGTTAAGCCTTCATCTGAATTTCTTTGTTTCTCACAAGAATTTTTCTCAGATAATATTCCTTATATGGTGTAACAAAATTTAAATACAATACTTAAATACATTAGAAACAATAAAAAAAGTCTTCACATTATTTTGATACAATTATCAAGTTTATTACCTATATTTTTCTTGTGTGATTGCGTTGTTACTATTTATTTTTGTTTATGCTTGGCACTCTGCTTTTTATTACGGTCACTCCATCATCTGCAAGATATTAAATAATATGTATTAATAAATAAAAATATATATTAAATAACAAATATAATAAACCGTCTATCTTTTAATATATATAACAGTTATAGGAGCTGCAAATTTACCTAATAAAGGATAAAAATATAATGTATCAGGTTCAGTTATGTATTATGTATAATCTTTTAAACAAGCATGATTCGCAATATCTGCTTGCTCGCAGATCGTTTCACATAACCCGCACGTTTGTACGAGATTGAGGGATTCATCCTGAAAAATATATTAAATTTAATGCTACAAATATTTCTAAATTACTTTTAATTTGTTAGTCTAGTTATTTCATATTTTAGCTAATTATAATCTTTATTATATATCTTCTAGTTCTTGTAAAATTTAGGTTATAATATATGTATTTTTAAGATATATTATTTGGTTTGTACGATACTATTGAAGATCGCAAAATTTAGAAGATGTAAAATTTGTAAAAATTAATTACATACACACACACACACACGTCAGAGTCCATTTTTTATTTTGAATCGAGATGATTAATGAAGATCCAGCCGATCCAGCGACGATGCTAACTGTTAAGGTGCCTTTTCATGCAGCGAATTTTTCGCTGCGAATGATTTTTAACGAATAGCGAATAATTCGCCGCGAATAGTTTGTGAGCGTCGCATTTCGTCGCATTTGCGTGGTTATTGATGGTTACACACCGTTTCAGGATGCAATCTTATTCAAAAGATATTGAGAAATAAGGAAAATCGTTTCGCAACATCTACTAAAGTACGTATTTATACTTGGTTATATGCTTTGAAGTGTTTTTTAATGTATGTGTTTTTAAATGCTATGTATTTAATAAATATACAGTAAATTATTAATTATCTATAAAATTTTTTTAAATCTTTTTAGATGGAGGATCATTCAGTTATGAACTGGATTAAGTTATATAATCAATAAATGCAGTGTTCATTTATTTATACACAAATATATTATTATGGATGGCACCCAGTTGGACACGGCTCAATTGGACACGAGCCATTCACAGCGCTTGAGACTACAAAGCTCCTAAGCACCGGTCGCTGTGATTGGTGGTGTCCAATCGAGACGTGGTCAATCGGGATCACCCTTATTATTACCATCAAATAAATGCACGAAAATCCATTTATATATCTTATATAATCATTTATATATCCATTTATATATCTTATAATATATTTTACAATATATCTTTACATAGTATGTAGTACAACATCCGATATTCCACGACATTCGCTAAAAGCTGGAAAATTTCGGCGAATAGCGATTACTGGCTAGCGAACAGCGAATGATCACGTAATCATCAATCGCGGCGATTTTTTTGTTGCATGAAAAGGCACCTTTAAGGTGCAATTTCATGCAGCGAAGAAAGCTGGCTTTTTATCCCCACTCCACCACAATCAAAGCAGTGTTCAAAAGCTATTCGCTCTTCTGCTTCCTTTTCAGGAAGCGTATCTTCGCTAACTTTAATTTTCGGGTATTGCCAACAAATTATCAGCCATGATCGTTAAAAACACACTTAATCACACTTAATGACACTTAATTCAATATAAAATAAAATATATTTACAATAATATTTATATCGCTATATTTTACAAATGAATATATGACATGTTTCGAAGAATTTATCTCACGTTGCTATTTTATGTACCTTGATAACAGAATCAATCAATTTAGCAAATATTTTTCAAGGAAACTCATATTTCTAATAAAAATTAGAAATATGAGAGAAAGATGAACAAAACTGATTTCAATGAAGTTGGATAACGCAATCCTTAGAAATATGAGTTTCCTTGTGTGTGAATAATATTTTCTTCTACTTATTAAATAAATATTATTTTCGTAGCCAATATAAACTGTAATTTTATTGCAAAAATATAAAACGTTGAAAAAAAAATTAAAAAACAAACTGCGAAGACCATATTATACAACATATGTATTATGTATATATATATATATATATAATTTCCTCTACGTAAAATATTGGTTAATTTTTTAGATATACACGTACACATGATTTGTGTGTTTACAGCATACAATATTTCTCAGAATATCTAATGTTTTATGTTAAACTATTTTATGTTAAACATTAAATATAAACTTTACGGATTCACGGCTGACCCAATTAATTATAATATTACAAAGGATTATAATCTCATACAGTCAATTTAATAAACTTTCAATTATATGGAATATTTATTCGCAGAATTTATCTACGTTATTATCGTGTATTTTTAACAAAATATTTCAAACATTATATATTTGATTATGCTCATACGTATATTGAAAATAAAGTGTCAAAGAGACACAATAAACCAGTAATAAAGAAATTAGCTTCAAGTCTTTTGTATGTAAAAATCTCATTAACGATTCTTTTTATTTTACAGCCGGTACATGTAACTGTTACTGGCGTTCAGAACTCTAATTTGGGCAAAAGAAGAAAAATCAAAATGTAAAGAGGACCATATAACAACGAAAACAGGACGGAACGGCCATGTCGTGGTCATACACGACAAGTACCTCACCATCCTCCTCGATTACAATGTTAATGATGACAACACTATTAACGCCATTGGCACTAACGGCAAATTACACGGAAGCCAGTGACTTTGTTGGCAATACAACAAAAAATGTCACTGTCGAGGATGAAAAATATACGCCGTACAGTGAACGACCAGAAACGTACTTCGTACCAATAATCTTCCTTTTGATCTTGCTAATTGGCCTTGTTGGTAATAGCGTGCTTGCTCTTATGATCCTGCGACACACAAACATGAGAAACGTACCTAATATGTACGTCCTTTCGTTGGCACTTGGGGATTTACTGGTACGTATATTTATACATATATGTAAATACCCTGCCGTCGAAAAGTTTCCGAACATATAACTTAAAATTGCATAATATAAGAATTATTTAATTCGGTGAATAACAAGGACAAATGATGCATTATGTACATCATGTGTAAAACAGAATGCATCCTTAATTATCAGATTTACTACACTGATTACATCAGGTAGGAGAGCAAAATCGATCAGTTTCATAACGTAGGTACATACACATATACAATAGCATCAGTTCGTCGATTCTCGCATCGTCGTTTCACGACAAATCCTACGTGATGCGGATAACTCTACCCACGCCTCTCAGCTATGCATACCAAACAATTAGTTTTAATTGGCTCTTACATTCCTGGAATTTTCGGCAACAGCTTCTCTGTTCAATAATTAGTTATTCTAGAGATTATAATGCTTTTTTTTTTATACGAACAAGTAGCTTCCCACACAGCACAAAACTCCGTTCAAGTTCCCTGGGATTCATTTCGCTGAGCTCTCGAGGAGCTTATAAAATTCGACAAAATGAATTCCCAGGGAGTTCATAATGCTGAGCTTAGACAAAAAATTTTACGGGCCTTCCTGCGAGCTTAAAAAGAGCTCCCCGCGAATCAAAATAAAGCTCCCAGGGAACTCACAAAAGCGGACATAGGAGTTCCCGGGGAGCTCCGTGCGAGTTCATTTTAAGCTTAAATGAAGCTCACAAAAATTTTATGAGCTCCTGGGGAACTCCCCGGGAGCTCCCTGTGCTGTGTGGGTTACATTCCATTAATTACATCAGGGTTGGGTAAGTTAATTTTTTTTTTAACTAAGTTTAGTTAAAGTTAACAACCTTGAAAATTTAACTTAGTTAAGATACAAGTTAATTTATAATGAAATTAATTGAATTAAAAGTTAAGTTAATATTGTAAAAAAAAGTAATTAAAAAGTTAAAAGTTAAATTTTTTTTTATTTTTTTAACTCATTCCAGAGTTTCAGTTACAAATAACGGAAATGACAAATATATACTTCATTTAGAAAATACTCTATATTTACATGTTTTGTTTATATATACTGTTTAGTATATAAGATTTTACTATGAATACTGGCCTGTAATATGACTAAAGCTTTAGACATAATACGAGGGAGTAGCGATAGTAATAAGAAATAGATTTCAACTTATCAGAAACTAGATACATCGAAATACACGGTTTCTGATAGATTGAAATCTGGGCGTTGATTGTATAATTTGAAATGATGTGAAAATTACAAAAGTGAGCAAATTCACTAGAATATTTATAATTTCATTATAATACTTAGTCAACACTTAGTAAATTTGCTTACTTTTGCAATTTTCACCTTATTTTAAACTATCGCTATTGCCGCATATTATGTCTGAGAATTAACTTCAAAGAATTAAATAAAAAATTAATAGTTACGGATATAAAATGTAACTAAATAAAGTTAAAAAGTTAAGAGTTTAAAATGTAACTAAGTTAAGTTAAAATTAATTAACTTTTTAACTTAACTTTTATCTTCTTAACTTAGCACTACCCAATCCTGAATTACATGATATGCGTTGCGATAAGCTTATATAAACGTACAACAGATAGTAGCCGCTTTTTAACTGAAATGTCTGGTATCGACAGATGCGATTTGCTCTGTCATAATACAAACTGCTCAAATATCGGATTTGAGATTTTAACAGTTATTGACTATATAAATTGAATAAAAGCAATTAAGATCGAGCTTTTAGTTCTAACCATCAAATCTTCACAGAAAAAAGGACTATTCTTAATTTAAGAATAGTCTTTTTTCTGTGTTCAATTATTTTACACCGCTGTATACTATTATTATTTTCTTCTTGCTTTGATCGATTACTATTGCGTAATTATTCAATTTGTCCTACAGGTAATAATGACATGTGTCCCATTCACTTTTACCGTCTACGTTTTGGATTCTTGGCCTTTCGGATTATTGGTCTGTAAATTCTCTGAGTGTGCAAAGGATATATCTGTCGGAGTCTCCGTTTTTACTTTAACTGCTCTATCAGCAGACAGATTTTTCGCTATCGTGGATCCTATGCGAAAATTACACGTCGCAGGTATAAAACCATAACTGCGTTATTTGAAACTTAAAGAAATCATGTGTGATATAAATCATTTAAGACAACGTTATTATTGATGTCAAGAAAAGCTCGAACTAAACAAAGCTCGAACTCCGACGAAATCACTAGATGTCGCGCCGTGCGCCGCACATCTAAAGTCACTAGATTTATAAATCTAGTGACTTTACGCACATCGACATGTCTTTTTATACTACCACAGCAATATCTCACGCATCTATGATACACGCAGTCACACATGCGTGTCAATTTTCGTACAACGAATTCGTCGCGATAAAGCGTCTAAATCTAATTCTAAGAATTCAACGTTGTATGTTCGCGTAAATTACATGTTTGGGAACTATTATTTCGTACATTCGGGTTGCAAAGCTTTCATATCAAGCAAATGTTGTCACGACTTGACAGCTGAGATGCCATATTACACTAAGAAATGGTAAAAAATATATCGATTCCGAAATTTTTGATCATTCTCAGCGTAGACTCCACTTCACAAACACGTATTAATGTGTATACTTTAATCCTGGAAAAGGATTTTCCAATCCGTGAAAGAGAAAAAGAGTATTCGTTATACAAAAATTATACGTGTTTA